AAAAAAGACATAGGGGTCGGGGCGCCTGGGTGGCTCAGTCAGTTGAGCGTCTGACTTCGGCTCAGGTCATGATATTGCAGTTCATGAGTTCGAGCCCCGCGTCAGGCTCTGTGCTGACAGCTCAGAGCCTGGAGCCTGCTTCACGATTCTGTGTCTCCCTTTCTCTCTGTCCCTTCCTTACTCGCACTCTGTCTCTCCCTCAAAAATAAACAAACAAAAAAGACATAGGGGTAAATTTTAATGACCTTGTATTTGGCAATGGATTCTTAGAGGACACCAAAACACAGCTGCAGAAGGAAAAAAAAAAAAGATAAATTTGGCTTCATCGGAATTAAAGCCTGGTGTGCATCGAAGGACACCATCAAGAAAGCAAAAAGAAACTACAAAATGGGAGAAGCTATTTGCAAACTATGTATCTGATACGGGTCTTATATCCAGAATACAGAAAGAGCTCTCACAGCTCAACAACAAAAAGACAACCCCCGTTTAAAAATGGGCAAAAGACCTGAACAGACACTACTCCAAAGACATACAAATGACCAGTAAGCACGTGGAGAGATGCTCCTTAGTCATCAGTCATCAGGGAAAAATGCAAATCCAAACCACAATGAGATGCCACTTTGCACCCACTAGACGGTGTAACTTTGAGCAATGGAAAATACCAGTGTTGGTGAGGATGTGGAGAAACCGGGGCCCTTGTACATTGCTGGTGAGAATGTAAAAAGCTGTAGCTGCTGCAGAAAACCGTTGGGCAGTTCCTCAAACACAACAGAGTAGTCAACAGAATCACCATGCAGCCCAGCGATTCTGGGTGTGAGACAAACTATCTGACAAGGACCAGCTACAGAATTTGCCCAGTGGAAAATGAACACTGGGGCTTCCTTGTTCAAGACCCACGAAGAGTTTCAAGGTGGCGACCGCAAAGCATTAAGCCAAGTGTGGGCCCTTTTGGAGAATAGGATTCTATGCTACCGCACAGAACTGCAGCCCTCAAGTGCACCTCTAGCCCGGCAAGGCTGCACATCCAAGGTCAGTGATCTGGTTAAAGGCTCCCTGCCCTGTGACTTTTATTTGTTGATCGGACCTTTCTCTTTCTTCCTTGATGTCCCGAGAGACGGGGAGGCAGAAAGGAATAAAACATTCTTCAAGTATTTAGGTTCTGATTCTGCTGTGACAGCTTCCACTTCCACGTACAATGGAGGTTGGTGTTTTGATCTTAGACCTCTTCCTTCCTTCCTTATTTCTTAGAATTTCTAAACAGCACTGCTCTGAGGGAAAAGATACGTATTCTATCCTTGTGTGTTGGTATTGGTCCTTGTGTGTTGGTATTAATGTCTGGCTACATATAGGTGTTCAATTAATATAGTTAAAAGGAAAATAAAGAATGAATTGGTGGGTGGATGGATGGATGGATGGATAGGTGGATGGTGGATGGATGGAT